GAGAATACAAGGAAGAGGAGGGAGAGAAGGAGGGAGGGAGTGAATGATAGATCTGCAATTTACTCCCTATCTCATCTGGCAAGAAGTTTCTCCACACAAAAGGCCTGACCTTCAGGAAATAAACACCTTGCTCCCCCAGAGAGCTCTGCTGATGTCTGTGCTGCATGTCAATTTCATCACTAGGTCTCAGGACAACACTAAGATGAATACAATTTGGGGAAAACAAACTCTTCCATCTAAACTACTCTGTGAGAACTACAACTATTCCAATGCTTTAGAGAGCACATGTTAAACCCGTGGACTGTTTTGACAAGGTTTAGTGTAATATTTTCACCACCAAGTCCTCCAATTTAAATCCCACAATAATATTCTTGTTGACATGATTTACAAGCACCTTCTATTACAAACCACTACAAATCATTTTTAGAAATATAGGAGCACTTCTGACCTGAACTGATGAGAAGCAAACTGGAAACAAAAACGGTCTCCCAGTCAAAAATGACCTTTTTTGTCGTTTTAATTCAAACCAAGAAGTTAAAGAGAACATCCTGACAATGAACATGGACCAAAATACCAAATGGTCTAGTTTAAAATTCACCTTTTAATGAATAATTTATAAATCCACTTTCCCCACTTCAAATCCTGTAATGGCGGCAGAGACAAATCCTTCAGTGGAGTGTGATATTTCCTCTTCCATCTCTAAAAGTGATTTAGGTCTTTGTGTCTCATCCTAGTCAATCTACCCCATCGCTCCACCTCGAGTGGCAGCTCTCACTCACCCTAGCCGCTATTCAATCAACCCCTTATTCCTTATTCATATGCTAACCCCTATAGCAGAACCCCTTTGGCCAAGTGTACTGTGAGATAGATGTTAACATGTGTAATCCCCTATTAACTCACACAAGACAACGTATCCTCCGTGGACACCCTCTCTCCCCGTGGGATTTGCCCTGTGAGAGAGGAGGGGCTGATGGGTAATGGTTCAGAGAAGCTCCCCTCTGTTTCAAGGCATTCTCCCTCCTGCCTCCTTCCCCTACAACCATGGTGTATGAGCTGAGATCACCACCGTCGACGATTTAACTGATATGGACGAGCGTTGGCATTTATATGGCATTTATTCATATTGATCCAAGCCCTAAAGGAAGTGCTTTGATTTGTGAAAAATATAGTCAATTAAATGCTTCTAATTAAATTAAGCAGGTAATGTAGACATTACCTTAGTAGGACCTAAATATGATTCCTATTTGGTAAACCTATATATGGAAAAGTCTGTGAAATATCTTTATTACACATGGGTGAAATGCTAGCATTGAAAAACCCTGCAGCACAATATAGTTTTTATGGGACTGACAAGGTTGTTGATTTATAGCCCTGATCAACTAACTGTATCAATTTGCCAGTTTATTAGATGATGATTTAACAATAAAATAATTTAAAGACTGCTTTCTTTGAGCCACTGCTGTCACAAAATACACACAAGATTCAATTCTCAGGACTACGGTTGGTGTTCTGTCTAGGAGCTTTGCATTTTGTTTTAGGCCACAGACCAGCTTCTGTTTCATTAACTCTGTGTTTATAGGTTATAGTGCCAAAACTGACTGGCTAGGAAGAGAAACAGACAAAACTGACTGAAAGTCAGTTAGTTAGTTTGAATGGTCATCAATACATGCAGAGCAGGAAAGGAGAAAGGTACAAAAGCTAGTGTCTACAGCCATCTGTAACACACAGTGGGGGCTCTGTCACGGTGCTGCATGTTAGCCAGTGGTGTTGGAGATCTTTTGAAAATTAACAGACTTATGAACACAGAAAAGGGCCGTCATATTTTGATCCACTGTGCAATACCAGCTTGTTAAAAAAGTACAAATTCAGTTTTTGACTTATACCCTGCACTTCTATTTATGCATGCACATTTTGATAAATTACTGCACCTACTTGTCATTTTCTTAGAAAAATATAAAGACATGAGATAGCTCAAGAATTTTGTACAGTACCGTATCTCAAAGAAGACAAAGGTTTCTGTTTATAAGCATCTCAAGGGCAACACCCACCAGCAGTTTGTGATGTTTATAAAAAAAAAACACCCACTGTTAGAAGATGAGGATCACTGTTTCAAGATAACCCCCCGTCATATTATTCAGTACCAGCCCTCGTGAAACAGCCCAGTGTCCTACAAATTACAAACACATTTGACAATTACCCAACCTCACAATTTTCTCCTGAAAAATGAGTTACCATTCAGTCACAAACAGGTAGTTAACATTTGGGTTTCCATAAACTGTAATTAAAACTCTTCCCAAACCTTAACCATGTGTTTCAGCATTATAACCATGCCTTAACAATATGGATTTCCATTTATTAAAAATAAAAATACTTTATTGCTACCTGGATAAGAACATCCTATCTACACCTTGATCCTGACTTTTTCTTATGTTTGTGCTGTGGGCATATATGTTTTCTGGCAGGCAGCAAAATAATACATATACATTTTTATAATGACTATACTGTAAAGTTATTAGAAGCCTAATAAATAAAAGTAAAAAACAAACAGATAGCAATGATTTTTAAACATGAAAGACTACACGTCATCTACACTCAGGAAGAGTTAAGCATAAACAGGGGTGACATCATCTTTGTGGACTAAGTGGCTGTTTTAGGCTGGCCTGTATGTGCATGGGATGTGTATGCATGCCTCATTGAATTTCACATTATGTACTCTAATCTGTCCAGAGAACTACAAAGGAAACCTTAGACGGAAGACCTTGAAAAGTTTTGTGACTTTTTTGAAATGGTTTCAGAGTGCAGGCAGACATATTTCTGAGAGAAGGTGTTGATAACTTTGCTGCTTGGTGGTTGTTGTTGGTTGTTTTGTTTTTTTTTCAGAGGAGCTGTATGGGCTAGCAATGAGAAGCATTTCATATCTGAGAAAATTTCCTTAAAAATGATGACTGTTTTACATTTCTGGATGTAGATATGGGAGTAATTTCCACAATAACAGAAAGAAATGCTAGAAAGTATTTAAAGCTCCAGAGGTTTTGTGGTGCAATGGACTCTAAACACTCCCAAATCCATTTCAAGTGACATCAACAAAAAAATCTAAGGGTGTTACTCCTTCAAGCTGCCAGATTTCTTTCCTCTTTCCCATTATCCCTCCCTTATTCTCTCTGGAAATGTGAAATTAGCTGAAACATGAGGACAATTACAAGAAGGCCTAGCATAAAGGCTGGGGGACTGGGAAAATAAACTGATCACAGACCCCTGAACAAATCTGGTTTACTTTACAAAGCCTCCTCTGAACTCCTGCCAACGTTTCCCCCGTCTAGAAATGTTCTCCCAGAGCAGCTTCGTGTTTACACCTTGAAAATCGCTGCATGATCAAGAGGGAAGAGACTCTGATGCATTCCCTTCCTTTGTTCTGACAGAGGACGCTCGGCTGAGAATTGTACGTCAAAAGTAACATTAGAAATATCTAATTGGCTAAAAATATGTAAGTAATTCTTTTGAAGGTTTTTTTACCCCATTTTTTTTGGTTTTAGGGCTCTCGGCTATTAACATCAAATGTGTGGGAAAACACACCCAGTAAGCTATCGTCTATGGTGTCTCTTACTTAAGAATAGATCCTTTTTTTCAGCACCAAAGATCACCGAGGCATTATATAGCTTTTCTCATTACTGCGTTTTCCAAACAGAGTGCAAGGGGCAGTAATGCATGGCTGAATTACTCAGGGATAGTATTCAGGGATAATGGTTGTAGGGCTGATGTCTTATACTGCACAGCTTTAAGGGGGTCCTGTGAGAGACATCAGAGGACTGTCGTTCATGTAAACTGATTTTGTCAGAACAAAACTAAAGGACTTTATCTTCACTGAAAAAAAACAAACAAACCAAAAAGTTTTCATTGCAGGATTAAGCTTGTTTGGGAGACTTAGCTTCTAGTAACTGATCTTTAATGAATATGACTTTAGAAAATTGTTATCTCCGTGTGCAGTAATTTATATTCGATGCTACGGCTCTGTTCTGGGAACTCCCTGTTCTTCTACAGGCATACACAGAATGAATAAAGTGGGAACAACAGCAGGAACACATCAGTTCAGCGACTGATAAAGTTAGACACCAGAAAAGATGGATAAAAGGGAGTCTCAAAGTGGCTTTCAGGAGCTGTAAGCAACTTAAAGCAGCTTAAATAATTATTACTATATGAAATGCATAGTAGGGCATCAGCTGGCAAATGCAGCTGAGCTGGACTCCATGGCTAACTACGTCTCTATTTACCCAAAAGCTGGAACTGGACTTCTTTATTCCTAACTGAACCAGGTTAAGTTTTTGAAATATATAAGAGGTTAATGAATGTTCAAAAGGTAACACGATTGCTGATACTTTTTCACAATTTGCTGAATCCTTAGATAGCGGGGTTAAATATTTATTGGCGTGATTGCAAATGAAGCTTCAAGGTTCTCAAATGACATACATTTCCACACGTACACACAGAACTATTTAAATAGCCAAAGAGTCATAAAGTTTAGTGTGTGCATTTGTGCTCTCATGAGGACAAAACCAATACATTTCAAACAGTTGCCTCTCTCTTTATCTTCAAGCCAAAGTGTAACTTTTCTACACAAGTTTTCTCATAACATAATAGTCATGCATGCTATTAATCACATAAATTCTCTTGGGAAAGTTAAAATCCAAAAACAAATGCTTGCCCTGATGAATCTGCTTGCTAAGTGACAAAAATATCACCTGCAAACTAGTTTCTTGGCATATTTTATGACTAGATATAATTAGTTTTTCTTATTATTATTATTGTGTTATTGTTTAAGCTAACCTTTGTTAGCTCTTTGTTATGACTAGGAGACAAAAGGTACTTTGAGGTAGGTTAGCTGGGGTGGCAGCATATGGCTTTGGTCATGGTACAAAACCTACAGTGTCTGCCATATGTGAGCGCATTTTGTATGCTCAGCCCATACAGCCTTAGAGCTTAATGGCTATAACAATTATACATACCTCCTCTGATCTTGTATCACAGAAGACTTGGTTTCACTCCAGCATGATTCAATCAGCTGCAACATGTCTGCCGTCTCTGAAAAGATAAATTATGCCATTACTGTTCTGAACTGCAGCACTGTGCTCTTGAAAAACTGTAGAGCTACACTGAGCTTTAAAGGAAATGTCACTAATTACCCCGCTTTTGTTTAGGATAATATTGTTAAGTCATTCATCATTGCAAGGGGTTCTGCTCCAGCTGAAGAATTATGAATAGGCATGTCTTTTGCCTCCTGGCAATATAATTTATATACATGATATTTTGGCTCCTGTCATATTCCTTACACTGACGCTTTATTCAACAATCAGTAGTATAAAACACAACAATCCTGGAAAAAAAAAAAAGAGCATATCAATATATCAGAAAATGTACTGTCGGCTGTTTAAACATGGAGCCAACTATTTCAACCTACTTTCAGCATAACATTTTCTTGGCAGACCTAAGATAACTATTCTTTTAAAATGGAGTTGCAAAATATAAATTCCAGACAACATCTGACAACAAAGGAAAGTCAGTTTGACAGGGGAGACACACTTAAATAATACATCAAGTACTTTTTTTTCGTATTGGTTTTTAAAATGGCTTTAAATTATTGCAGTACCTTGCAGCATTTACTCTCCCTGAAATCTCCACTGTTTCTGGGAAATTTTTCACACCCCTCTCATTTCATTTTGATGCTAGCGTGTGATGGTGGCACAGCAAGGCATCCCTCACATTTCCAATAAAGTTGGCACAATGTGGCTCTGGACTATTAATATCACACAATGCCACGACCACAGTGGTGGCATCTGCCGACTTAGGCCTCCCCCTTTCCTCTACCTCTCCCTCTCGTCTCATCCCCCACTCCTGTCCTTTCTTTTCCTCCCTCTCCATCTTGCTCAGATGGACTGTGCAGCCTCGTAGTATGACGCACAGCTTGGTGAAAAGCAGTTGAACCGTTGCCAGAAGCCCCATGCTGTTCTGGCTATTTCCATCTTTGAAAAGTAAATGAACTGAAATTGCAAAATATGTGCTAACTTCCTTCAAAGTCAGGGCAAATGAGAATCTTAAAACTCATCGGCATTTTTTTTGCACTTTTTAAACACAAGACAGTAATTTTTTTCTCTCCAGTACCATTACTGTTCATCCTTCACAGTTCTGTCTCATTCTACAAGTAACTGCTTGAGCTCTAAAGTCATTTATGAAAGTAATGCTGGATTATATCAGCTTTGGAGAGGACTAAAATGGACATTACTTATGGGCAAATGTTTGAGATTATGACTATAATATGAACACAATGGCATTTATATCAAACAGGACTCCTCTACATAGGCCATCATCACCAGTGTTTTATGTTTGAGGCAGCACTTCACACTAATCCTTTCTTAGGACTCAGTTGGCATTTATTATGAGAAACATTTTGGACAACTGTCCGCCCGCTCATGGCGCTCGCGTTTCATTAGTTTCACTTGTGCTTTAATTGATCTTTATTTCCCTTGATTACGATCATAATTAAACACCAGAAAGCTGTTCAAGCTACCAGCCATCTGCCAGGTTGGATGATGGGCAGCATCAGTGTGGGTATATGGGTACAAGGCCACCATGGTGCACCATCAAATGTGCTATAATAAGGTCAGCTGGATTTAGCTTCAGTGTCCTGCATTTTTGCAAATAAATTGTTAAAAACAACGAAAAAAAGCTTATTTTATTTTTATTTTTTTGTTTTGGAAAAGAGAAGAAGTGAGGAAGAAAGTAAAGTGGATGATTGTAAAGAGACTAAAATAGTCTATTTATTGAGTAAATGTGATTACTGATCTGAATGTACTGTTGCTTATCAAACAAAGTGAATCTTTGAACACAGAATAGAGTAAGTGGCTGGCAGGCTCTTTGGGGCTTCATAATGATTAAAAAGGAGAGATGAAATGTAAAAAAGTTCTAATTAAGTACAAATACTTTGTTATTGTACTTAAGTTGAATATTTATGCATCTGTCTTTTACTTGAGTATTTATTTTTCTGAGAATATTTCACTTTTAGTCCCTACATTTTACCTCAAATATCTCTACCTTTTGCTTTTTACATTTTCAACAGGCTTGTTTAACGCAATTGAGGGAAATCGTTTATTATTTTTGTTACTGTGTGTGCCTTGCCAATATCTATCCCAATTGAACCTAAATTGGGATGATGATAACATATAAAAGCCAACCCACTGGTGCATTCATCATTGGTGATGACTTATGTAGTTAAGAAAGAGACAAAACAATAAGTGAGCAAATTTCAGAAAACACACAAAATGTGTCTGCAAGATGAAGATACAGTTCTTAGTGAGAGAAAAGAAAGTTAAAGTGCACCAAGTTTATCCTCAGAGATGAAGGAAGAAGTAAGAAAGAGAGAACAGGACCCTGGTATTAAATCATATTAATATAACATGAAGTCCAGTTAGCTTTGCACAAAAATGGTTAATAGAAACGTCCTCCAAAGAGCTACTTTATTTTTAATATGTTGAGAGCATTTTAGAGCTTATACATTTCACTTTGACTTTAGTGAAGTTGAAACACTACTTTAATGTTAACCAGTGTATTTTTTCACAAGTATCTGTAAGCAGCTTACTTCAGAAGCTGGATGTCAGAGCAGGGAGTGATGTCATCTCCAAGTTGAGCGCATTCCAGTGCTAAAGTCGGAAAAACAAGGAAAAACAGGATTTGTTTTGCTTCTTAGCAAGGCAGAGCTATTCATGTGTCACCAGCAATACAGCACAATCCTTGCTTTCATATGCTTAAAAACAACACTGCTGCTTGTTCTCTGTATGGTTATTTAGACTGCACAAATACACAACAGTGGCTGCGCAGATTACAAGTGTTACAGTTTTGCTACTATTTGCATGCACTGCCGCCATCTTGGATTGTAAAGTCAGGGTTCATGGTGGTGCTCTAACTTTCTGAGGTGAATGTCTGACCTGTAGCGGCTTTCCAGTTGAAAATTACTACTGATAACTTGGAAATTCTGAATTTAAAGGGAACACAATACTACTTTTAACAGTGGGGATCCACTGCCAAGGTATGGCTTCAATTTGGTGGACTCTATCTGAACATCAGCTAGCTGATAACTTTGTTTAATTTAACTGTAGTGGAGAGCAATACCAAAAGGATCTGATAAGAACTGGGGAGAAGATGAGGTAATGTCATGTGCCCTAACAGGATGCTGAACACCAGTTTCAACTTGTGCTTTCAACCATACAACTCATGAAAATGCAAGGCTGTGGATCAAAGACATCAATAGTCATCCAGTCAAAAGACCACATTCTCATGATGAAAACAGATGCTATTAAAAATGTCTACTTTACATTTTGATTTTCTTTGGATTAAGCCCTTGCTTTAGATTTGTGTTCATTCCAATTTTTATCGTCGAGACTCTATGCAGTTCAAATCGAGTTATAAACTTAATCAATCCTTACTCTCCTGCATCGACTCCTTTATGATTAGCCGAGGTCACCGTGTTTTATTGACCTGATAACCTAAGATTAAAATGGCAGAGAGTATTTGACTTGAAGTGGAAGAAATGGGCAGGGCAGAAATATAGAGCTGCACAAATTAGACTCCTTTCAGTAGCTCTTACTAGTTAAACACATCATAAACGAGAGATGACGTGAACTAATTTCTTCTGGTGCGTTCTCTGATCCCTTCACTATTGTGAAAAGCAGTCCATAAAGAAAGCAATATATGAGAGGTGGTGTGTAAATCTGGGCTGAGGTGAAGAGGCAGACCCTGCATGAAGAGTGATGGATGAGGTGGGAATCCTGCCCTTTCTTTCTCTGTTACCCTCGATCTCTGAGGTCTATTCCATCTCTTTCCACTGGGATAAGGAGAGACATGCATGCATTCTTGACCTCTATAAGGAAACAAGGTGCTGTTGCCACAGCTGCATGCTTGCCTTTCAGAAGCAGCCATTGCTCTGTAGCAGGTTTAGGGAGTTTGTGCCTTGGCCAACAAATCCAATGAGCAACAGCTTCCTTTCATGGACTGTATACATGAAGAACTGAAGGACAGGGCATATTTCAGCACATGCAATACTCAAATTAGAAAATGAAAAGAAAGAAAGGAGTTTGAAGTTCACTCAAACATGATGACAGGATACAGACCAAAAGACTTTCAGATTTTTAAATACTGAAATAGCCTTGTTTCAGTTACACAATCATAGTTAAGAAAATGTAAACAGAGATTTTTTTTAAACTAACTTGAAAGTCAAAAGCCAAAAAATCTTGAAAAAAGAAATCAAGTCTAGTGTGAAGTTTGCCTACATGCAACATCATCACATGTACTACTCTGTGGCAAAGTTATATAATGTTGTATGATATTGTCACTGTTTTTAACTGCAAGATTTCATTAAATAGGGGTTAGCAGTGTTTCTGATATTAAGCTTAGACCATACTGGCGACTGCTGCTGCTTTGAATTAATGAAAGTGGAAAAGAAAGGTACTTTATATTTATTCAATTTATTTTGGAGAATTATTAATAAGAGTTTGCCAAATGACAAATGAATCAACAGCACACCTTTGTATCAAAACATAAATAAATAGTTTCCCATCACCTAAACTAACTATTGAGCATAACTTCAGATGGAACCTCCAAATTGTACACACATTGTAAATGTAAAATAATTCAGTATCAGAACAAATCTGTGAAAACCATAAGGTTATGCAACATTACCTCTGTAGGTACAAATTTAAACCCCCAGCTGTGAAAGTTGTTACAATTTTGGTCCAATTCTGCTTTTCTGCCTGTGAAGTCAAACTGCCTTATAGTGCAACTGAGACACTGGTATAAACTTTATTATCCTTCATTGTTAATGTTGCAGGCCAACAACCTGCTTGAACAGGAATTATGTTGAAGGATTTCATGGGATCTATAAGCTGTTTAAGCAAATTATAGTAAGGTAAAATATTTAGATTTCACAGCCATGCTCTGTAAAGACAATGAACCCATCATCCACTGTTCTACTGAACTCTGGCACCACTACTGTGGCCCCTTCAGCATTAACGCATATGGCTTTCCTTAGATCA